TCTTAACTAGACCTGTACTAGCACTACTGATAAATGTATACTACTTTTGTGAATTTTTTATTTATGACTACACACTACTAGAAACTTTAGTAATTTAATCAATTAGAAATATTACCAATTCATTATGAGTAGATCAATTGAGTTATAAGCCTACAATTTCAAAGTTTATATCTATTTCTAGTAATGTGACTTATATTAAAATAAGAACAGTTAAAGAAATATTTAAAATTTTGTAATTAAAATTAAATATTAGTCATAATTATATTTAGAATGAAATTCTAGTCTACATCTAAATTCATATTTTAACATTCATACACAAGATGCCTGTTTTCAATTTCTTTTAAAAATTATGACATACACAGCCATAGCAATTGCAGTATTATAACTTCCAAACAATGAAAAATCAATTTTGTAATAAGTATATATTATAAGCAATACTAACTGTAAACAGTGCTTGTAATACTAGTTCTGGTGAAGCTGCAATGGCAGAATGTTGGCTGAAATATGTTCATTGTTATCTGGAGAGTAAAGGTAATTTTTCCTAACTTTATTGCCAAAATGTATAAGTCTCTCTGAGATATTCACTACAAATTCTGAAACCCTATTTCTGATGTAAATAAATCTCATGTCTAGAGCACACACAAAAATATCATCATTAGTGTCTGGAAAAGCCAAAGAAAGAAAATTTATCATGGTAACATTTCATTGACATTTATATTGTTGTATCCAATTAGAAATAATCAGTTATTGGTTGAGGCCTTAAACAGATTTCTGTAGACCACCGCTGTGTTGAACTAAAAAAAAAAGTCAATCAAAGAAAATCACCAGTATCTAATATTTCTTTTTGTACTACTAGATTTTTTTTCAAATCACTTTCTACAAACAAGAATAAGAGAGGCTTCAGACCACCTGGATATGTGTCTACTTATTCAACATTAACTCTTTCCTATTAGCTTGGTCAATTCAACTGAGTTCATGACTCCAAAGTTACCAGTTTCCATACTATAACTTTTAATGTTTTATATATCTTCACAAAATTTTGCAAGCTTTCAGTAAACATTACATGTCTTTTATACTTAGTTTTATTGTTTTCTTGCTCTTTCAACTGTGTTTAACTAATAATCCCACTACATAAGTTGTAAATCACTTGGCAAAATTTGATGACGAGGAACCCACTTTGAGACTAATAATGGTTGAGACTAATAATTACCCATTCAAGCCATCTCCAACCATCACTTGGCAAAAGCGTAGCTCGCATTACCTTATCAAATTATGTAACACATAAGCTGCTCAAGAGCAAACCTCATGAAGCATTTTTATAATTATTGTGGGTCCTCTTGTTTTTTTTTGGCTGTCAACTGTTCTTGAAACTTAAGCTTACTTTATTTTTCATACTAATGGTTCTAGTACATTAAATAATTTTTATTTACTTAAATAATGCACCTATGATCACAAAATAATAACAAACACAAAGCAAACAATGTCTTATACCTATCATAATTTCTGGCTTTCTATGTGATAAGAGCCTTTAAAAATCCAGCCAAGCTTGTTGATGCAAATACCATGATAAAAAGTTTCAAAAAGAAGGTGAAACAGACAATCGCTGTACAGAAAACAATGTAATGTATCATTTTATAGATTAAATTTTTGGCTTTCTATTTATTATAAATAATATAGTATAAAAAGTCAAAGAGAGGATTAATGGCAATTTGTGAAAGAGAGGATGTGACAGGTGGCATGGCAACTGGGTCAGATTTTCTGGTTTATGGCTCTGTAAACAAATAAGATTGAAGGCTATAAAAATTATGCTTTGCCTTAGCAATATTTATATTATAGTGAGTAATTTACTTTAAATTACACATTTTTCAGAGAGGTGGTAAATAAATTGGAAAAGAAGGAAAGCCAAATGTCAAAATTCTCATACTAAGGGGAATTGAGGAGTTTTAAAAAAATGTTTCCTTATACAATTAAGAACTTAAAAAACTTATAAAATATTAAAATTTGATTCATTAACTATATTTTGATACCAAGTTTATTCATATATATATAACGATAATAAATCAGTTTAATTAAATTTTTGATGTAACTCTAAAAGGTCTTGACATGAAAACTTTAACCTACCCATAGCAATAGGATTAAGTAATACCCTCTGAAAACATTAAATGAAGGGGGGTGGGGATGGCCCCCTTCTCTAAATCTGAACCTTCTTATATAACATTAAACAATATAGTTATTAATTCCTGAAAAAAAAATGTATGGGAGTTTGTCCACCTGGACCCCTTCCACTAGATCCATGCCTGCTTATACAACATTAGAGAATAGTTACTAATTTCTGCTAAAAACAGATGGACATCTGGACCCCCTAGGCCTTTCCCCCAGATCTGCACCTGCTTATACAACACTAAAGAATACTGTTATGCAATTATAAATTACAAACATAACAGTGTAAAATAAAAGTAAATTTACACTTTAAAATTTAAGTAACCAGAGAGTTGACAGTGAGAGAAACTGGCCGTTGGTTTCTCTTTATTCAGCAGTTCAAGAGTAGTGATGGTGGCAGATACCCTAAATAGCTATACGAGAGCAAAGACAGAAAAAGTAAATTTAGTGGCAATGGGAATGAAACTTAAGACTCTCAAATCACAAAACATCTCTCCACCCATCCATCATGTAACGTTATGCTTAACAATATCATAATGGCAATATTTTGATTACTTGGATCTTCAGAATAATCAAAAACCCTAATTTTGATTAGTTGAATATTTTTGTGAGAATAAATTTAATTGTAACGTAGTTTAACCAACTACTGAAATACTTGAAAACAGAAGAATCTGATCATTAATTTTCATTAGTTGAATATTCTTGTGAGAATAAAGTTAATTGTATTGTAGATTAACCAATTATTGAAATACTTGAAAACAGAAGAATCTGAAATATTAATTTTGATTAGTTGATAATTTTTTGTAACATTAATCAATTAATCATAATTTCAGTTAATCAATTAGATTATGACACACAAATCTACATAACTGCTGCTCATAGATAATCCATTATATCACCTAGTCCTAATTTCAACTATAAGAAGGAAAAAAGAAGCATGTCAATGACACTCCTCCATTCTGCTTACCTTTAATCAACTTAAGAAAGTTGTTGCTGTTATTTTTTAATGTTATCAACCAATAGTTTCACATAAACAATTTCAGGTTTCCTATTTTGGTTTTAACCTAATTCCTACAGTTCTATAAGTCTTCCTCCTATCTGTCAATTTATATTTTTTAAATTTATGACATTTATCTTGATTTTTTCTTTTATTTCCTTATTAAGCCAATTAGGCTCAATCTTCCCTGTTATTCTTTTCCTAATTATCCAAATTCACTAATGATAAATCTTAGGTTCTCAAAATTACCTTTCTGAAAATTAAGAACTAAAGTTTCATTTATCTTTTTTTTACATCAACAAGATACAAAACTTTAAACTTAATCATGGAATGATTACTCCTTCACAGATGTTCCTTCATTTAGTAGTTCTCCTTGGCTCTCTAAGCATTTGAAACTTCTAGTTACCCTATTTGATTCTGATAAGATATACTAACATTAAGTATCCCATGATTTTTGCATCAAAATTCCTATTAATAACAACCTTGATTTCATTACACAATGTCTTATTTGCATCATCTGTCAGTTAAGGTAGCCTATAACAATTTAAAATTAATAACTTTCTTGTAATATACATTTTTATACACACAGTCTCACTTGGTTGCAGCTCATCTCTTACATAGAAAGCCACTCTTCTCCCCCATTTTAAAATGTCTGTTACCATCAAAAATGTATAAGTTGGAACTTCCAAATATCCCTACTCTCAATGTTCTCAAACATTTTCAGTAATTCCTATTATATCATAGCCTTCCATTTCAAATTGAACCCTGAATCATAGATTTCATTTCTATTACTCTTAAAAACTAAGCATATTCTTGGATCTATTATCTAGCACACAATTAACCCATATCTCGAAAACTATCCCACAAGTTCAACTGTCCAATTCACCTATTGCTCTAAGCATGTATAATCTTTCAGTTAAACTTTGGATCCTGCTAAATAGTTCATCCCCCCCTCATATCTAGCCTGGGTAAGTATTCTCAAAAGGGCCACACACTAGCCCTTAACATCTGAATACATTCTTTACACACTTTAAGCAGCTCTTCCAATTTACATCATTAGCTGCTAAATGCACTACAAAAACATAATATTTCTTGATACCAGCAACTAACTTGTTAACCTACAACATACTTTAGAACTTTGCAAGCCAGTTCTAGTCCCAGTCTTTCTGTGCTCCCTACTACATATAACATTAAATTATCACTTGTGATAATTATTTATTTCCTATCTACTGGTTTATAACTTTAGTACACAAAAGCACTGTAAATTCTTATATTTTACCCACTACTTAAAAACATTAGGTGCCTACTGTCAAAAATTTAGGTTTAGCTACACCTGCAGAAATAGAACCTGATAAATATTCAGTCCGAACTGAACTAACTTAAATACATTAAATATTATAAACTTTAGATATAGCCAATATTCTTCACAATAAAAAATAAAAACTGTACCTGTACTTACTACAACTAATTGTAACTTTGTTACAGAGCTCAAAAGTATTTTGTATGTTATTCAAAACCTCCCTCCACAGTCACCCTTGAAATCACAGGGTTTTGGAAGAACAAATCCAAACTCATATGATCTTCCCGCATATATGGGCACACACAACTGAAGGTACTTCAATTATCTTGAATAACTATAAAAATAAAACTTAACTTATTAATCAGTTTTCTAATGAAACTGAAGAAAGATTCAAAATCCAAGAGGCTTAAAACATTTAACTTTCCATCCCATCCAATGTTAAAAAGTTATCAAACACAGTTACATATTCTACTGACTTTTTACTTTATCTTATTGTATAATTATATATATTGTGGTTAAAAAAAAAACAGATCAAAAACTTACATTTTTAGAATTTTCTTCAAGATACATCCTGAACCCTTCATGCTTTTTGACAACATCTTCAAATTCAAGTATTTTTTCTGTTACAAATACATCACTCAGGGAGTTACCAGTCTGTAGAGATGATGAATTAGTTACTGGTACTGAGTTTCCTACAGAAGTTAATTTCCACGTCATTGGTGTAATCAACAATCCAGTCCCTTCTTTGTAGCCAATCCTGCACAATGCATTAATGAAATATTCAATTGGGGGTGTGAGGGGGTGACTTCAAAAGCCAGATGGCATTTTTTCATCTTGTTTGTACGTACTGACAAAGAGCTAACATGTAACAAACTTGCACTAAATATTCACAATTGATGAAAAAATAATTGCTTTAAAATTACTTTTCAATGTGAAGATGAATTTTATGTAAGCCTTTGTTTTAAAAATTGCCAAACTCGTTAACTTTGCTGTTTTGTGTGCATGTTAATATATAAGCATTATTAAAAAAAAATACACATTACTGCAAGTGTTCAAGAACTCCAAGTACATAATTTTTGTTTATCAAACTAATGAACAGACACCTGAAACTTTACATTATAATACTCACAACAAATACTAAGGCAGGGAGAATATCTATCAGTGTGCTTGTCTCAGGTACATTTGCTAATACAACACACAAATGAATCAAAATCATGGCATTCACACAAATATATTTGAAAAAAAAAATTATTGATTTGGATCAATAGAAACAACAAAGTTAATGAGTTTGGGCATTTTTTAAAACAAAAATTTACATAAACTGAAATTCCACATTGAAAAGAAGTTTAAAATTAATCCTATTTTCTTAAGTTATAAATATTCAGTGTGAGGTTGAAAAGATGTGTTAGAAAACAAGGACATACTAAGCACTCGTACCAAATTCCTTTGCCTAAACTACATGCATGATAGTGGTCAAGACAAATATATCCATACACGACTTCAAATATGGCAACATGTTAGATGAATAGTACTCCCATTGTTATTGTAGAATATTATGTTTATAGTCAGAGATTTTAAAATAAAATTACTTTCAACAACAACAACAAAAAAATGAGGAACTTCATTCATATATGATTTACTCTCTAGGCTTCTAAATTGCAATTTTTAATTCCATGTCAACAAGCACATGTAGTACCAAACTATAATGTACCGAGCTTGATTGAAATTTAATTTTTTTTGTTTTTATAAACAAAATTCCTTCATTACTATGTTACAAAATAATATCAATCTAACTATAAACTACTAATTCAATCACCAAAGGTAACATAAATTCTTGATCATTGTAATATTTCATTACTGAGCTTGATACTTGACACAACACACAGTAATACCAATGCATTAACAATGTTAACGTCAGCAAATGTTGCTGACATCCAAGTTTCAAATTAAAGCTACATTTTAGGGGCCAATAACTTGACTGAAAGTTGTACCTTTGAACATGCTTACAAGTTACTGAGACAGCAAAGATAGGCCAAGTAGTTCGTTATTATCTCTTAGAGATTAAAATGTACAATCAGTGCTCCTGTATTTGCTCATGTCATTGATGTACGCATTGCAGGAATTGCAAAACATGCAGTTAAGAACAACCAAGAAGTTAGAAACAGTACCAATAGGTCTAGAAACAGTACCAATAGGTCTAGAAACAGTGAACTTAACTGTAATGATTAGGTTCTGGTTTCAGCCTTCAGCTTGTGCAGAAAAGGAAATGGGGAGGAAAGGAAAAATAATGGGACAGATAGGGATGAGAATAAAAAAAGAAAGCTATAGTTAATGGGGAGTTTATATTACAGCATGTGGATAAGAGTCTGTGGGTAAATAAAGAGAAAAGAATTAGATTACACTATCCAGTTTAACAAAGTGATATAGTAAATGAAGCCAGTAGTGATGCACTTTGTAGTGCACAGAGAGGCTAATCAGTGTTTGAAATAAGTAGTTTCTGGTTGTCTGAGACAACCAAAGGTATTGCTGATTAACTCGAATGCAGTACTTTCTTGTCCGTAGAAAAAACGCAACATGGCCCAATCCCATAACAGTCTAGGCATCTAACCCATATTGGCACATTGAGAGTATCATACAAATTATGAGTAGTATGTCTATGTGCACTGTGTTCTGGAGAGACGTGATCGTCAAAATGAGACACTACTTACCCATACATGTTCATTACACCATCTTGCAAACCTGTTACATTTATGACCAGTAACAGATTGCCACTCAAATGATTTTGATAATGCCACATTTGTTTCAATGATTTACACGTTCCATGTTTTGTTAAATTAGACTTAGATACCATTTTTTACCTAAGTGGTGGACCTGGAATGGCTAAGCAAGCTTTGCTTTAAGTTTGTGTCAAATCCATGTGATCAAGACAAAGCCGCAAGAAGTCTTCAAAAAGAGACTCCAATCATGAATATGATCAAAACAAATGAAAATCAACATTCTGAAGCTCCTAGCAAAGTATTTGTTTGTAGCTATAGTACGAGAGAAAAGTATCATTCTACTTTGTTTGGCTGATAATGTATTTTTTGTCATTATATCCACTTCCTTCTAGCTCTAATCAGTCACAAAACAACAAACTGATGAAAAAATACACGTGAAGCAGAAGCCAAACAAACTGTTAAAAGAACTGTGTATGTTAAATACTATTAAAATTGAACCAGAAGATCAATTGTCTTTCTGTTAAATTCTACACAACTCTCACTGATATCAAGCACTTCAAGCCATTATCAGACTACCATTAGGACACAAGTGTATGTTAACAATTGTTCTTAAGAACTTTTGATGTTTCAATGTATTTATCCAGTGACAGCTTGAAGATAATAAATTTGTGAAATAGAAGGTTATGGAGTTTTTTGTTGTTGTTATTATAAAACTTGTATGATGTTGAGTCATTTCATTTTTGGATTCATGCAGTGATAACCTATATGTTGTCACTGTGGAATGTGTTGTCATTTCGTATTGACTGAAGTTAAAATAGTCCAATTTCATAAAAATGAGTAAGTAATGATTTATATTTCCCCATAAAGTTCCTCCATAAAATCATGATGTTTTTCTCATCTAACCAGCTTTCTAGTACAGTATTTGATTTAGGACAATGTACTACCAAGCTTGTAATTTTTTATTTGTCATTTAACTTGTTCATTCAAATGTGGAAACTACAGTTTATTGTGCACAACCATAATTGCCCTGAAGGTTGTCCATCAAACAGCCAAGTCTAAGTCTTATTTCAAACACTGGGCTATCGATTTAAGGAAGGCAGGTCAGAAGGGCTAATTGATAAGTGCAATGGATTGATAAAAGCATTTAAAGAAAAGTCCAATAATAAATAACATTGTATTGAAAAAACAGAGTACTTGTAAATTTCAAAAACAGTTCATTGGTTTGTGTAAAGTTTACTTGTTTGAATATGCAACTTATAGTATTATGTTCAAACTCACATCTCTAGTTGGCATTTCACATTTTTAGTCTAAATGTTCCTCTTGTCATAAATGTATTATGGCACCATTATTGGCAGCAGTTGATTACTGTCATTAAAAAACAGGGGAAGGAATTGAATCAAATGAAAAACAAACAAACATTTTACTGTGAAGTTAGTATTTTTATTTTTGGACAAATGTAAATTTTGTTGGACAAATAAAATTTTATGTCGACTCATAGTCAAAGATCTAAATTTCTACACCTAATTTATCAAGCCAACAATTGTCAATTAATCCAGTCGTGGCATTTATTTCATCCTATAAATTACACTACACTAACTCATGAACTACTTCTAACTAGTTTAGAACTGAGTGATTAGAGGAATCTGGTAGTTATTTAACTCAAAATTAGTCTTATAATCATCTTGAATCTTGTTTCTATCTAGCAGCTATTCAGGATGAGGAATATTTTTTAAATCTTTGTTAGTAAAAATCAATTTAAACTACTTGAATTTATAATGTTTTTCTTTAATTTTATCCTTTATGAACCATCTGATTATTTATTTTGCCAACCCTTTATTTTCTCTATAAGGAAAATGCTTATGTTGAATATTTAAAAACTTATTTTTAAAGTTTTTCTACATTTCATTAATCTCTCAAATGAATTCAAGTGTAAAATTCACAACAGATAAATACTGTTCCATCAGAATTTCAATATTCCTTATCTCCATATGTAGTAAAACATCAAACTTAATAAAGCAATGATCACTTTCACCCAGATGTTCCCCAGGCTCCATCCTCTCAACCTTTTCCACATTAGAGGTCAATAGTAAAACTAAAGTAGCGTTGTTTCTAGTACATTTACTGACCAATTGGTGAAGAAAACCATTCAGAATTAACCTGTCTCTTTCATTTAATTAATAGCCTTTGCAAAGATACCAAATTCAATTGTACCTGAATATAAATCATCCACTCCAAACCCACCCACCCCTTTTGTACTGAATTGATCCTGCAAGTCCAAACAGCCAATCTACTCTTTTTTGCATATTAACCTGAGCCTAACATTCAGTCCTAGTGACATACTTATAATTTCATCCCAACAGTTAGTGTTGGCAGATTTCCTGCCTTAATTAAGTTATGGGCCTTTTCTTTAAAAGATTTTATCAGTCTCCTGTACTTATCAGTTAGCTCCTCTGACCTACCTTTCCCTACATCATTAGCCCCTATGTGTAGAACAGACTTCATCACTACCAGCACCCTTTACTATATCATTTTCTCTTTTAGATATATCCCCCCATCTCTGATTATCTTCATATTTGCCCTAAATTCAATTTTATCTACATGCTGTACCAAAGAATTGTGTAAAACTATAACCAAGTTTCTCCTTCCCATCCTCTTCCTTCCAATAGTTACTCAAGTCTGCACAAGCTAAAGATTGAAAAGAAATGATTTTCCATCTATATCAAATGCCTTATCCAAATTATAAGACATGTGCATTACTTTGAACTTTTTATAATTAAAGGCCATTTGCCTAACATTAGTTTAACTTGGAAGCTAATTTAAGTCATTCTGTAACACCTCAACATATTCAATAGTTAAAAAATACTCAAGAGTTGAATGTAATCATCAAGCTTTACTAATCATGCCCTACAATTATCATCAATAAAAATTATCAAAAGCAGTGGCCTAAACACTGACTCCTAAGGTACTCCACTAATAACTAGGATCCAGGTTGACTTCAGTCCATTAATAACAGTTATTTGCTTTCTGCAATTCTTATCTCCATTTGTAAATCATATGATTTACAGGTAGTGCACTTCCTTCAGAGGTAGTTTAACCAGCACATAAAAATGGTGCCATCCAGTACTATTTATCAAAAATGTATATTTTGTGGATTTAAAGATGATTAATATTATGTTGTCATTGAACATTTGCCATTTTTTACTTTACTGAAAACAGGTACTTGCATCAGAAAGTTTATAATAAATAGTGTTATAGTGATTATAGCAGTGATTGTTTCTTCTGACTGTTCCACTGTTTAGTTAACTTCCATAGTTGTTTGTATACATGTTCACATATTTAACTGTGTACAACCTTTCGTAAATTACTCTAAAATTCTGCACACGTTTCATATATAATTACCATTTATCATTCTTTAAACTTCAAAATATTTTATTAACAAGCTTACAATTAATTTCATCATTTTGTATAATCTTACTTTCATCTAGCAAATGCTAAGGATGAGAAAAATTGCTTAAATCTTCATTAGTTAAAATTGAAGAACAATTAGAATTTAGTAATCCAGCCACTCATAATTATCAGAAATAAGCCTTCCTTTATCCCTCTTCAAAGGCCCTACTTCCACCCTAAAAGTTTTCTTACCCTTAATGTATTCAAATTCTTTCTTACTGTTAATTTCTAAATTTCCATCCAACCTCTCTTCATACATTCTTTACTTTTCTTATGCCCTAAGAAAATCAATTCAGTTTAATTCTTTTCCAATCAAAATGATGAAGGAGGTATTTTACTAAGATGTTGAATTCAAAGTACAAATTACTAGCAAAGTGGCAATAATAAATAATGCACATATTACTGCTCACAGTCATATTTAAACTTCAAATTTCACTAAAACTTGAATTAACTTTTTTTAAACATTATAATTTATAGCAAAAGTTGTGTTATAATGTTCGTTTTTGCTAACAATAACATTTGCTTAAGCAGCTAATTAATGTTATGTATTATTTATAAAAAGCGTTTAAAACATTATTATTCTTAATACTTATTAAAATACAGGACAACAGTGCTTACCTGAAGCTAGATTTGACGACGTTTTATATTTCTAACACTAATAAGAGCAAAGTAATAATAACAGTAAGTGGGTTAATTATAACTTAATTATAATATGTGAGCGCTGAAGTTAAGATTCAAACACCCCCTACTACTACTAAGGCACAGTAATTTGTACGACTACGCCTGGTATTACTATGACTAGTAATAGTATTACTATTAGTAATGGTAACACTAGTGTAAATGCTATAGTTTTCTAGTGATTGTAATGTAAGTGTTATTGTTATCAATATTATTATTACCTTAATAGTTAATATTAGTAATATTATTAATGATTATATAGATAAAAATATACTGAATATAACTTATACATCTGATATGCACAATGTATTACAGCATTAATATTTAAGTACTAGTTAAAGTCGAAGTAACACCTAAACAGTGAAATCAATAATTCCTTAGATTATAAACAAAATCTGGAAGAATTAGACCAATGCATTACCTATCAGTATCACATCTACTCACCTATAATACAAATACTTACACGTACTTCAGTGTCGTCACTATCGCCGTCTTTTGGAAGTATAGCACACTTGTCAAATTGATGTAGTTGTTAATAAATTTAGGATTGCTTTAGAATGCACAAAACTAAATATTCTTTGAGTTCATTATTCACTAAAACAAACAGTTATGGCCAGTTGATTTGGATATTAAAAACAAGTCAAGTTGATGTGATACCTTTATGTCCTGTTTGTTTTACAAATTTGGAGAACAAAGCATAACAAGTTTTCTAGAACTATTGACAAAACTTCCTAGAATGATTTAAAAAAAAACTCACTACGTTACGAATCGTATATTCTACACTTAGAATAATCGAAACATTAATATCGGGATTCATAACAAACGAATATTTATTTGAACTTTGGCAATTAAAACAAAATATACTCGCGATTATCAAATACCTGGATGGATTTTTAAAGATAAAACAAAAATATACTCGCGATTACCAAATACCTGGATGGATTTTTAAAGATAATCCATCTAAGAATTTCTACCAAAATTAAATAATTTTAACTTAACTTTTAAACTTATAATTTAGGAATATATTTAGGAAAGGAACCACAGAAAAAGAAACCTCACTTCGAAAATCGATTACAAAAACATGTTTGATTGTCAGGTTTTATGTATGGGCCGGATGTTTTACAGTAGATGTATGTGACTTGTTGGCGATAAATCTCAACAATAAACAAACAGCACACAGCTCCACTTGTTTTAAAGTAATATATTAAAATAAGTAAAACGCATATACAAATGTTTACAATGAATAACTACGGGGAGAAACTCTGGTAGTTTGTGTTTTAATGCACAAAGTTTATAAAATGTAAACGCAGTGATGTGTATTTAAAATAGTTAAGTGGCCTACCTAATTACTTATGTAAGAGCTTAGGTACGTAGAGTTATGAATTAATAATGATGGTCGTGCGGGAGTCTCACTGACTGCGAGATTAAACCTATTCAACAGCACGTGATACCCACCAAATATCTCCAGTACAAAAGTCCTAATTTAATTTCTGAATAACTTAAAGAACTTTGAAAATCTTCCCACACATATACATTACTCTTTCAATGATACATTTTTTTTTTATATTTTAGTTTGAATCATCTCTCTTTCACTTACAACTTCCAAATTATTTCCACTATGAGATTCATAGTGTTCTGTGAATGTTAGAACATAGGCGATAGAACTAACACGATGCAGTTATATATATATTGGTTTTGAGATATATGTAATTGAGAAATAATGCACTTCACAATCTTTTTAAACAAAAAGCTTTATAGTTTATGCAAGTGAACTGTTTTCCAAATAAATGTTTGGCAATTTCGTTTTCAATCAGTTTATATTTCTACAAAAGTACAGTTTTATCAAAAATCGATTAAAGCTTCCTTAAGAGCGGTCCAGACTTCAAAATCTAGTTCAGAACTAATTGATTTCCATCTCTTCGCAAAAACACCAAGTAGACCGGTGACTATTCTATTGTAGCGTCAGCGAGGTCACGTGACTAGTATTACGCCACTCCTTCTCTCGAACATTCGGGAATTGTCGGGAGATTACTAGATATAGGGTAGTCTGGTATATATAAGATGGTGAC